CTCACTCAGCCCCTATTTGGCTTCTGGATATTGAAGCCATGTGGGTCGGATCAGACTTACAGGGTGATTTCCATGAATCTATTCCAACCCTTCTGGAAGCAAAGTCCATCTGTCAGTTCCCTGAGCCAGAGCTCAGCTCTTATAAGTCATCTATCAAAACTTTGGAGTCTGGCTGATAATGCTGACTGCTGGAGAGGTGCCTTTCATGAAAGAACTTTACCTACATCATAATTACAGAAAGAGAGAAAAAAATGACATGATTAAAAAAAAAAACTCCTCCTTGTTTTTCTCTCTGAATTCTTTATTTCCCTCCCTGAGACAAAGGGCAATAGTGGCAACAATACATATAACTCTCTTTCCCCCTAAAAAAAGTCAAATACAGATTCCTGAGTTCTTAGCCGTCAACTTTGATATTTTTCCTCCTTACTGAAGAGTTGGAATATACTACCTTGCCTTTGTTTGCAGACATTCTGGAAGTAAATTGTGGAATTCCTTTTAAAGAGAGAATAAACATATGGGAGTTGTTTAAAAAAAATATTGTGCAGTTGAATGTTAAACATTAAATTAAATTTAAGCATCTGCTTCCCTCAAGAAATAGCCACTTGCCCTCCTTCTGGAGAGAAACACCAACACAAGGAACCTTACCTCTTCTGCAGTATCTGTGAATTAGCAGGTGATGACTACATACATATTGTGCAACTTCATCAATTTCATAACAATTTCCATCAATTTAAAAGTCCAAGATTCTTAATATTTATATAGTATTATCCTTTTTACCTTCAAATTATCTCGAACTTTACAAAGAAGAAATATATAGACAGCTTAAATAATTTTTTATGATTAGAGATTCCATTTGGAGAGTAAAACCTCTGATCTTCCCCATAGTTTTTCTTTTGAGAGATTTTGGTCTGCAATGCTACCATTGGAGGAGAAGGTAAGATATAAGCTTCAAGTTGGACCACTTTGCTACTTTTCAATCACTCTATTAAGGTATTTTGGAAAAAAGAGTATTCCTGTTAATGAACCCAATATACTTTGGGAGGTATCTGATAACAGAATATTTTTGATCTAGGTAAACAGAATCCTCAGGTTACTCATGATTTGGTGATCAGTTCAATTAACTAGTTTATAAATATCTGAAAGGTAGCCTCAACTTTCGATTCTGGAAACCAGAATGAAGTGAGACTCAGCCTGATTAACAGCAAACTTAGACCAAAGGCTCAAAGTATTTTGAAAATAAAACAAAGGGAAAGAAAGGAAAGAGAGAGAGAATGAGAAAGAGAGAAAGGGAGAGAGAGAACTGAGATTCGATAATTCTGAAACAGGAAGGGGGCAGGGCACAGCCATTCAAGGAATGATTAACAGCAATTAACATCAAAATCGTGGAAGATTCAACCCCCAGTAGGCCTTGAGGCTCAAGATGATGGGAGATTTGATTTCTAGCAGAACTTGAGCTTCATTATACGCCCATTGTAATATATTAACATGGTAAATAACCTGCCCACAGGCACCACGGCAGTCCCAGGTCTAGCCACAAAAGGTCAAAGAGTGGGAAATGGCCAACTTCCTGGGAATCCCAGCCCCTTCCCCAGGCTAGTCAGACTGGTCCTTCCACTTATCAGCATATGGAGCCACTGGCAACACGGTGCCTTGCAGCTGCCACCCTCTCTCTCTCCCCACTTCAGAGACGGCCCCGCACTCTGTCTGTGGAGTGTGTACCTACTTTTTACTCTAATCTGAGCACCCAACCCCCACGCCCCGTGGCCGTTCTCTTGCCTTTCGATGTATCTCTCTAAATAAATCTACCTTTACTCAACTGTGGCTTGCTCTTGGATTCTTTCCTGCGCAAAGCCAAGGACCCACACTTGGCAGGGTACGTCCCAGGGGCCCAACCAAAGCCTGGGACACGGCCCTCCTCACGCCCCACATCTGTTTTTCCTGCATCAATTCTTAACATTTCCACAAATATTCCGTTAAAGCCAGAACTTTTTTCTGTGTTAGCCCCCTTTTGCAACTTGATAAATGATTAGAAATTCTCAGTAGTTACCAGCAACCCTGTTGGATACTGCCTTATAGAGAAAATTGTTACTTATACTAAATAATCCTCTTAATTTGTTAAATAAATATAAAAATTTCCCATTGTCTTATTAGGAAAACTTTAAACCTGTAAAAAAAAGTGGAAAGAATAGTACTGAAAATACCTGTCTTCACATCTTTCACATATATTCATAGTTTGCTATTTGTGCTTTTCCCCATCTGTCCTTTTCCCTCTCTTTCTAAACATTTTTCACCATTTGAAATTGCAAATAGCAAGACAGTTTATACCTGCATACTTTAGTATTTGTTTCCTAAGAATGAAAATTTTCTCTTATGTAATTACAAAAATAGCAACACATAGCAAAGTGTTTAACATTGATAAAATAACTCAGCCCATATTCATACCTCTCCAAATGTCTCAAAATATGCATGTGTGTGCATGGGCATGTACATGTGCAACCAAGACATAGTCAAAATCAAGCACTGCATTTGGTTACATTTTATATTTCATTTAAACACCACTTTAAGATCTTCTGGGCATAGATGAAGTACAATTGTTAGACTCCAATAACTTTGCAAATGTTAAATGAACGATCAAAATTTAAAGAAAATATTGAAATCAAGTTTCTGCCAAAACCTAAGAGATGTGAAGAAAATCCAAAAAGTCACAGTAATTGGTATTTCTAATTTGATCATTATTCCCGCTCAATTTAGTGTTGATACTAAAAGTTACTAGAAATGCTGTTATCTGATATCCAAGATAAAATTAGCAGATAAAAGTTTGACGAGATTCAGTTCCAGTGAGATTATTATATTCTATTGAAATTCTCCATCATATTTTCAAGTAAAAACGACTACTTTCTTTTCTTTTAAAAAGATAATTTTCAGACAAAAGGTGAATTTCATCTAGATACACGAATGAACATTTGTCAGGGACTGAACTCAATGAGGAAACGAGGCAGATCTTATAACTGGGTCAGAAGAGAATGTTAAGAACAGGCACATTTACAAAATATTAAAATGAATGAGAAATAGGAGGAAAAATCGCCTTTCATCATGTGGAAGAGTGAACTAGACAGGACAGAATTTACATGTCTACTGAGAAGCACTATTTTACCCTGCTATCAGTAATCTATAATTTATAGTTATAAAACAGCTTTGCTAGAATACGAACCTGCTACTTGGAAAGTTTTTTCCCAAGAGTCTAGACAATGTTGTTTTTCACTTAAGTGCACATTTTCCCCCATATCCCTTTAATTACTGCCCTCACCCATTTAAAAGTATTACAATGACTGCATTTAACTACAGAGGAACACGGATATCATGGCATTTCAATTATTGAGATAAAAGGGTAAAATAAATTATGAATATGCAAGTATACAAAC